GGTTTGTTTCATGGTAACAGAAAAACCTAAGATATATAAGAGCTATGTATCTTTTAATAAATGATTGCTTGCACAAACCAAATCCTGATCATTTTATTCTGAGATGGTTTGCCAAATTCATTTGTCATTTTAGGAGGTCATGATATCACAAGTTTGAGGATTCCTACTCTAAGAAAAGGACCTCTGACATTACAATAGAGCATTACTTGGTGTATTGATTAAATAAATATTACGTTGCATCTCTGCAAAACAAGATTCAGCCTAGAATTTGTGAAATGTTTTCAGAAATCTTAGAATATTGCTGACTTTCATTTCAACGCTCTTTAAGAGCTGTCAGAAATAGCCCTATATTAGTGAGAACTTCTGCTAGTATCTGTTTTCTGTAATTGGTACTCAAGTAATGAACTCTGTGGGAAATGTACCAGCTGTGGTACCCAAACGCAAAGCTTTCTCATCTTCTTGCACAAGATGATCAAAAAATAGAATTGGCATTCTTCTTTTCTCCAATTATTATCAATGCAGGAAAAATAAATTAAGTGTCAGGAAATCTGTTCCCTATATTTATTTCTGAACAGTACAAGCTGACAACTCTGTCATGGATTCTGCTTTTTTAGAATGAATTGCAAATCACCTCTCAGAAAACTGTTAAGACATATATGGAATATGATGAATTAGTGGCGCTAGTTTTATTAGCTCCATATTTCATGAACCTTAAGTTTTCAGCCATAGTAGTACTATAACCTTTTCCTTCAGTCCCTTTTCTTATAATTCATAATATTTCATAATGTTATGGCACCTAAAAATGCTATGCAGGAGGGTGACGATAAGGAGTCCCTGCAGTCAACTGTAATGGCTTGGTTTAATTGCCAAGCACCTAAATTTTGTTCTTATGACTGCAAAGGCGCTGCAGTGGCTGTAAATTCAGGTAGGAGTCGTAAGTCCCTTTGTTCAGCACTTGTAATTTCAGTCACTGAACAAATGGTCGAAAGTCAAGGACTATCTGCATTTTCCCCAATATTTTATTTCTTGTAATATCAGTCACTGTTAAATAAGAAGGAAGGAACTTGGAACTGTAGGATCTTGCATGCAGAAGCACAGAGAACAAGAAAAGGAGAAAAGTGACTTGTTTAGGCTCACTCTGACATGAGCCAGAGACAGTTTCATAATATAGGTATTTAATTTAAATGGGCCAAACTTGCGAACTATATAAGCATAGACAACTGTTGTTCTGTCACAACCAACTGAACAAACCTCACTTATCTTGAATCTAGTTAAATGGATTTAGTACATTTTTGGTTTATCTCAGTGTTCTCAAACATCATTAGACCTACAGATTTTCATCAGTTGTTATATGTACTGAATGATCATTCTTCTGGCTTGTAAAAACAGATGGGAATTTCATAATGCTAAAAAAATAAAATATACCATAATATGGGGTTTATAGTATATTCCACAACCAATCAGTTGTTTCTAAGCCTTTGTGGTGCTGCTAGTTTCTGTTGTATTTTTTTTATAATCTTAACGTTTATATGAAGCTCTCAGGATTATGATATATATGATGAGGGGCTGTACAAGTCGTTGCCATTTATTATTATATTTTTAATAAATATTGCTTTTTTCCTTTGAGTCTTTAATATTTAAAATATGTCAAATTAAGAACTTGCTTCATTTTTACAAAGGTTCAAGTTGACTCTATAAATGTCACATCCTTAAGATGTCAGCTGTTGAAAATGCAAATTCAGTTTTCCTTTATCGTTTTTTGGTAGCATTTATTAAATTTTAACTGAGCAACATAGGGTATCAGCATTCTCAATTCTGGCCATGGATTGTATAAAAATCACATTTGCCTTGTTTTAATATATATTTCTTAATATACCTTCCTTGAAATTCTCTTCCAGAAAGAAATTAAGCTCACCTAAAGACCTGCTGAATATTCAATTTCCGCCCTGCTTTATTTGTTACTTGTCAAATTTTGCATTTTTCCCACAGTATTATTTTATTATTTATTTGTTAAATGTATTTGCTGCCTATCTTGCCATGGGGCTATTCTAGGTGGCTTACAAAAATAAAAACAGAGAAATTAAAAGAAGTGTTAAACTTATTTGTAAACTTATTTGGTATTTTGGATGTCTTAAATGTTTGAAGTTAATGAGCCAAAGAGCCTCAAATAAAATCAGTAATTGAGGAAATTCAAAAAACTAGTTTGTCATGCACAAATTTGAAGCTCTAGCATATGTTTCAAAATTCAGGGGAGCCTTATTTTTAATACAGTAATAACAAATCTCACTAATTTAGGCCATACCTTATTTGTTTTACTAGGAATTAACATAATGTGGTGGCCCCTATTACTTTATAGACTAGTGAGTTTCAATGTTCTGTGGATAGCGAAACCAATGCAGTAATTATCAACAGAAATATTTAAAACTCCAGATAATAAAGCAATAATGAGGACTTGTATTGTGTAAAGCTAATAGTATTGTCATCTTATGCTCACCATATAGTGTCATGCAAGATATTTTAAAAACAAGCAAGAGCCAAATTTCATATCTTTAGAAACAGAGCAGGAAAGAAACCAAAGTTTGAAAACGGTATTGGAATAGTCTTTTATTTTCTGAAGTCGTTCCTTTCCCCCCTCTTTAAAACAAAAGGGACATTTTACATTTGCTGAGGATATGTACATGTGAAAAGGGGGCGAATCTATTTAATGTTTCCTTGCAGGGGCTGTGGAGGAGATGGCCATTTTAAATTTCAAATCTTCCTTTTGGGTAAACATAATAATACATCTCATAGCCTAGAACATATTTACTAAGACACATGACTATTTAAGATGAAATACCTTGCATCAATAGATATTAATCTATTAAATAATTAAATTTATTTATTTATTTATTTATTATTTATTTATTTATTTATTTATTTATTTATTTATTTATTTATTAGGCTTATATGCCGCTTCATAAGGCTTTCAACCCTCTCTAAGCGGTTTATAGATTTTTAGCAAATTGAGTCAGCATATTGCCCCCAACAATCTGGGTCCTCATTTCACCCACCTCGGAAGGATGGAAGGCTGAGCCAACCTTGAGCCGCTGAACTGCAGATAACAGTCAGCTGAAGTGGCCTGCAGTACTGCACCCTAACCACTGCACCACTGCACCACCTTATATGTAAATAATACATGCTTACATAATAAACAGATAGATAAAAGATAGTCTTCGACTTGCTACTATTTTTTTCAGCAACAGTTCAACATTATGATGGTGTTGAAAGTATGATGAATATGACCAATCCTCTGAGTTCTTATCATTGCAACATTCCCATGGTCACATGATTGCTACCTCTGAGTGCTTGGCAACTGGCTCACATTCGCAATCCTCTGCAATGATGTGATTGCCATTCACGGCCTCCCTGTCAGCTTCCTTAGAAAGTCAATGGGGAAGCTGGTAGGGAAGGTCACAGTTTGTTATGATAAATCTCCCCCTCCCTGAGCCTCTCTGCACTTCTCTCTCACCCTTGTGCACCCTCCTTGATTCTCACTACATCTCCCTTAAATCCCCCGTACACTCTCCCTGAGTCTTGCCATGGCTTCCTCACGTCATCCTCTCATGTACTCCCTTGCAATTTCCTCCACTCTCCACCCAGCAATAACCATTTACCTGCCTGCTAGCCTGCTTATCAGCTGCCTGGGTCTTGCAATTTCCTGCCAGTTTCTCCATTAACTTGGTTGTGGGAAGCTGCAGGAAGTTGTCTTGCCAAACAGTTGTGGCATTCAGTTTACAATTGCATTGCTTAGCAACAGGAGTTCCGGTCTCAAGTGTTATCCTAAGTTGAGAACTATCTATGTACTTTTTAGATGGCACAGTAATTTCATATACTTCAGCATTGTGAAATGTGGCCTTTTTTTTCTTTATATGTAAATCAGAGCCTGATATAATCAAGCTTTCAATGGACAGGCTGCCACTTAAAATACATAAAGAGTGTTCTATGATATACGTTTTCTGTAATTGATAATACTGTGCCTATTCATATTCTCTGAATATGATAAATACTCCTATGATGCTAAAAGCAAATTAAAATAACCTGTGTAGGTGAGCAAGGCTTGAAATTACCGTATTTTTCAGAGAATAAGATGCTCCTTTCCCCACCCAAAAGAGAGTGAAAATCTGGGTGTGTCTTACACACTGAGTACAGTATTTTTGGCCTCCTGAAACCCCACCCCACATTTTTGCAAAAATGGACGCACAGAGGGTTTGGGAGGCCTGCAAAATGCTCCTGGGGGCTAGGGAGGGCAAAAATGAGCAACGAACGGGCCTGTTTTTCACAAAAACAAGGCTGTTTTTGCCCTCCCAAGTCCCCAGGAGCACTCTGCAGGCCTCCTTCCAAACTCTCTGGACATCCTGTGGGTTTGGGATGCCTGCAGAGTGCTCCTGGGGCCGGGGAGGGCAAAAACTTTTTTTTTTAATTTTTAAAAAAGATTTTATTGGTAAAAAGAAAATACAACATCCATAACTTGTAAAAAACAATACAACTACATTTCGAGATATTCCCATACTATCAAATCATTATAAACATCAAAGGTTAGGTATCTTATTCCTTCCCTCCCTCCCTCTTCTCTTCCCTCATTTCTTCTTTTTTATTATTTACCTGTTCAACATCTTGGTGCATCTTATACTCCCGTGCGTCTTATAGTCTGAAATATATGGTAACATACTATATGTTCTAACAGAACTAGTTACAAAGGTCAATATGGTTGTACTTCCTCTACATACATTGCTTACAACTTGCCATTGATAAACTAATCTCTTTTTTTCCCCAAAAATAACATATACATTCACTTTTAATACTAGAAAATCATTTTAATTCAGAAGAGGATGAAGGATAAAAGTTGCCTTCTGTATGTTGTGCCTAAAAAAATTCAAGTAATTTAAAAAATGCAACATTACTTTATTTTTTTTAATGTGTTATTTACTCAGCTCCTCCCCCCCTCTCCTTTTCTTCTAAAGGTGCTTTGACGGAGTGCTATGATGAACTGGGAAACAGATACCAGCTTCCTGTCTACTGCCTTGCCCAACCCATCAACATGATAGAAGAGAAGGGTGATCTAGAGACTCTGGATTTTCCGGATCCTCCGCCTAACTCCGGTCACGAATGCCAGCTTCGTTTACGCCTCTCAACAGGCAAAGACCTCAAACTTGTGGTTCGCAGTATGGACACTGTGTATCACATGAAGAGACGATTACACACAGTGGAAGGCGTAGAACCTAGAAGTCAGCGATGGTTTTTTTCAGGACGGCCACTCGCAGACAAAATGAAACTGGAGGAACTGAAAATACCAAGGGATTATGTGGTGCAAGTAATTGTGAGCCAGCCCTTAACAAATCCTGTCTTGGTGGAGAACTGATTTTTGCCTATATGCCTCTTCTTTCCTTTCCCTGCTCTTCTATTATGTGGGAACTTTTTCACTTTCCATTCTCTCCTACAAAAGGTTTGGTTCCAAGCAAAGACCAGCAAACCCTCCATCTGTGATGGAGTTTAGGTAAAAACATACATGAGCAAATATGCGCGCACACAAACCTTATGTATAAACACACAGTCCCTGTTTCTAAACTATCCTTGGAGGCTTTGTTCAATTTAATATTTCTTGACACCACTCTTAACAAAGTAAATGGAAAAATGTTTGTGATAAAATGAGCCTGAAATTCAAGGTGGATAATTCTAAAACTGTGCTTTGAACTGTAAGTGATATATTGATCCATGACAGTGAAAAGCACTTTTTAAAGGATTAAACCAAATCCAACTATTTCATGAAATCAGTGTCACTTATAGTTCAGCTGATCATTGTAGCTCCCCTGGTTAATCTAGCATGCTGTGATATTTGTAGGGGTTGTTTCTATTAGGGTTTTATTTACTGGCTCAATAAGACTCCTGCTTAATAATGAGTAGCAAAGGACTAGAGGTACACTCCAATAGTGGTATGTTCTCAAATTCAGGTTTTACTAAACATTTTGGTACATTCCGATTTAGCAACAAATTGCAATGTGCTAGGGCTGACTTCAGGGTGTATAAATACTGCCTTCTGAAAAATTAGGCAATAATTTATTAAATACATAATTTCTTGTCTACTGTAAGCTGCCCATTATAAGGAAACTTGCCGTACAAATCCCTGTCACCAATAAAAAGGCCTGTCAAATAATTTTACGCTATTATGATTGGTGAAAAATCAATTATTCAAAGTATACCAGCTTGAGAATATTAAAGGCACAGGGCATCTTTTATTTAATATGTTCAGCTCTGATGTTTAAAACAATAGTTTTGAACCTTCTTTACCCTCAAAAATAGCAATGAACTAATTAGGAAAAAGCACAAGCTGGTTTCATACACTTTTCTAATAAGAATTTGTCTTGCTTGATAGCATTTTTACCCACAGATATTTGTATTTTCTTGCCATAATCAAGCCTGCAGTTTTTATTCTTACTCAAATTAAATATACGTACGTATGTACGTACACACACATAGACACACATATGCTGCCATTGTACACAGAATGAGAGAAAATTATGAGAAAGGATTGGGGGGAAAAACCCCTCACTAGCAGGTAAAAATATTATAGACTGTGTAACGCTAGATCTTTCAAATATACCATTAGACCCATAAGTACATTTTCGGGGATTCTGCATTGCATGTATATTTATGTTATTTTCCCTGAATCCCTAAATAAGTTGTAGAGATGGAAACTTGCATTAAGACTGGATTCATTTAATTTGTAAAAGTAACATATATACCCCATAAACGTTTAAATAAGAGAGCATCTTTCAAGTGCTCTTATCTTCCATGACACCTGTTCATACTTATGCATTTAACAATGTATAAAGAGTGCCTGTGGCAAATAGATTATAACTTTTATAGTTGATAGATTTTAAATGATGTTGTCATTTATCTAGAGCTCAATGTGAACCTTAGCAATATCATACAGGATTTTCCCTTTAGAATCTGAAAGTAAGACATGCTTTAGGGAGTAGGTACAGTATATCCTTTAAGAGTGCTTTGAGCAAAATTAGTAATGATTCTCTCTAGAATAATAAATATGTTTGGAGAATGGCACTGATCAAGTGTATCAGAACAATGGGCATATTCATCAAATGTTATTTTAAAATGGAGCCTGTCATTGGGTCTGCTCCTTGATTCTGACATGATCATGTGCTTGGTAGTAATGTCATCATTTCTGGCACAACCTTTGCTGGCTAAATACCAAATCTAATTTATCTTTCTTTATGCACATGGACCTTACAGTTACAGAATTTCAAGTTTTAATTAAATTCATTTTTTTTATAAAAGATACAATGTGCATTATCCCCCGTTTTTTTCATTTAGAAATCAGTTTTTATATTTACATGAATGTATCGTGTGTCACAACTATAGAACTCTTCTGCTCATTGTCTATTACTGTTTGATCTGGATTAGGGTCATTTAGCAACTAAAATGTTTTCATAGAAATATTCAATGAACAGTAACTTTTAAATTGTTGATTAAGTTTCCCTTTTCCTGAAACTGTTGTTGGTGTTCCATTAATATTAAGCGCCCAACAGTCATAGAATGAATTCAAAATACTGCACATCACTAGCGATACTTTTATTATTGTCACTATATGAAGCAAGGTCTGGATGTGCTTTAAGTGAAATTTAAATTTGGACTATGTTAGAATTTTCATTTATTTGGGCAGTGGCTAGATAAGGAATATGCACTACATATTGTGCAAGTTACTGGATTATACATCAGGAAAGCTATGACAAGAATTATTATTTAGCACTTTTTATTTTTTCCAGGACTATTTAGAAAAGGAAGAAAAATTGCAACTATTAAGGAAAAAGTGAAAGTATATATAGTCTGATGGTTTTTGTAACTATTGCCCTTTTTATGTATTCACCAAGTTTATCAAATTAATTTTCTTGAATGTCCCACAGTGAATTATATTTACAGTACTGCTGCCACAAATATGGGGATGGGCATGGTGGAATCAGCACAAAGCAAGTAAGCACCAGCTCCTTCCTATCACTGGCATTCACTCAATTCGCTGTAGGAAAAATATGACAGGCAAATCTATCCTGTATAAGTGTTGTCAATTAATAGGTAAATCAAAAGAGTAAGGAACATCCACTACTTCCTTTCCTTTTTCTCTTCATGGAGATAAAGAGTTTTCCTGTTGTTCAGAGAATGAAGTTGATGCTTTTCAGTGTTGATGCATCAGAATTCAATTGTGGATCCTCAACAGCTGCCCAAGAATGCTGGCCAACATGATTATAGATGTTTTAGAATCACTGTAATAATTTTGTAAAAACAGCATCTGGAATATAGTCAACTGTAAAGTGCTCATCAGTAACCATATTGCTCTGAAGAAACAACCACCAGAATACATTAGAATAGTTTCTGTATTTCCCACAGTCCCTAGTGGGCCTTCATGAACAGAATTCACATTGTGACAAATGTTTTTAATGCTCTGATTATTTTTTCTAACCTGCTTATAAATCAGCATGGAAGGCACAGTGCAAGACATTTCCTGAAAAAAATGAAGGATACCACTCTTACAATTAGAATGGAATACTTTTGAAAGAAAAAATGAATATCCATAAACTTAGAATTTGATTAACACCAACAAAAGATCAATTTGGGGCAGATGCATGATAATTTAATTACTTCTTCTTTTGCACTGATATAAGATCTTCTATTCATAAATAAGGGATATTTAGTATCTCATTTAATTCATACGTATCATGAATAATTTTTACTTTGAATAGAAATTGTTTCTCAGAACAAAGGAAGAGTTGGTGAGTCTATTATTTCTTTCTTTTTCTGCCTCACAGAAGTTTATAATATGTCATCACCACCATCATCCGACTCTTAAGAAATAATAAGCCAACTACTATAGGCTTTTAATGTTGTTAATCTGCAAGAATAATCAGTTATTCTGCAATAACAGAAGTTCAAGCAAGCACTGTATTAAACTGAATTTATATGTAGTCCAGATTCCGATTCACTGCCAGCTCATTGTCTACAAAATGTGCCTCCCTCTCCACTCCTATGTAAGGTAGTATATATTATAAAGATAGAATACTTGGCTGAGTTATCAAAAGCAAACAACAATTTCCCCAATAGCCACATCAAATTTCCATAACATTTCTAATTAACATTATTTTGCTGTTGAATTAAAGCTACAAATATATCCAATAGTTTGCACCCTTGTCTGGCAAAGATGTCAATGCTATATGCTAGTTTATGGCTAGTTTATATTTTGTTTGTTCTGCAATAGTCTGAAAGACAAAGGACAGTAGCAGTGCTTGTACTCCATTATGTACAACAACGTAGCAACAAATTAATATAAGATGGACAATGTTTACTGCTTCACCATGCTGTGGGAAAAGTTGTAAGATTAAGGAAATGATCATATAAACATCATAATTCTCTCATCTCTAAAGAGATGTTCAAGAAATAATTTGATAAGAAAAATAGTGTGTTTTAAAAATAAGTTGATGGGTAAATCCCTCCATTTTATTAATAGTATGGTTTCTCAATTCATTACATAAATAATTAGGATTTATACATAGATGGTAAGAGCATTGGGATATAATGTTTGATAACACATGATCTAAACAACTGACAAGGTGCAGAAAGGTTTTTACAGAAATGCTTTCATTTTTTTAAACAGCCAAACCAGTGGTGGGATTCAGCCAGTTCGCACCACTCCAGGAGAACCAGTTGTTAACTTTCTGAGCAGTTTGATGAACTGGTTGTTGGAAGAAATCATTAGGGAAGAGAACCGGTTGTTAAATTATTTGAATCCCACCACTGATCCAAACCCAAACATAAATTAATTCAAGTGTTATATGTATATGTGTGATGTGTACACAAAAGACAGACACATAGGTGCATTGGCATATTAGTGTTGATTTTTTTCTTCCTCAATTTTGAATGTTATAATCATATACATCACTTGAAATACTTTGATGTTATAACACCACCAATGTTTATGTTTGTTTTATTTTTACATGATTGTGCATTCATAGTGTTTGCTTACGATTATGTGGAGCTTTCCTTGAAGTGCAGTTTCTTCATCAGTCTAGCAACGTGCTTCACTTACAAATGCCTCCCAAGTGTGCTTTAAAAATACATTTCTACCAAACAATATGTAAATAGCAGAAAGAAATGCTGTGTATAGGAGATACAGAAATGAACCAATCTACATTTTCAATATTTTACTCAAAGCAAGAGAATATTAAACTAATGCTAGCAATTTCTATTGGCTTGCATACATGCTCTCAAGATTAGTTGGCTGATTTTTAAAGTAATGATGTAGCCATGAACTATTCATTCTTTAATTCAACTCTTGTTTCCCTCCATCTCATTTTAAGATGGAATTATTGGAAAGCATATCCGTAAATGTATAGAATTAAGAAGTATAATAGTGGGGGGTTTTTTCCTTAGAATTTGCTTCATAATTT